TAATTCACGAATGTCTTTCATTATAATGAAGAACATTCTCTTTTGATTTTCATAGGCTGGTAACATCAAGATAAATGAACAAAGAAAATGAAAGAGCACTTAAAAACCTAGGAGTTAAATTAGAAAAATATGTGCAAAACCACCAATTTAATAACTTACCAACATTTTGCAAAAGCTTCTTTCATTTGAGAATTCTTGAATTTAATATTATAACTGCTAAGAATATGGCGTATGTTGTAGTGATGATGTGCTGCTGGAGGCAACCACCAATCTTTTTGCATTGCTTTTTTAATATCAATATGACAGTCTGATATCACACATAGATTGTCTCGTTTAGTGACAAAAACTCTAATGCAACTGAAATAATAAATTTAAAATTATTCATTTAAAAATTAATCATAAATTCTAACCAATCATATTATAGGACATTATTGAATTTAAAAATAATAAAATTAATGTATTGTGAATTTATTTAACTAATTTATTGCAAATATATTCTATATTTGCTAAACCAAATCCTAAACAAAACTAAACCCTTTGAAAAACCCATAAATCAATTGAAAAACCAAGCTAAAACCATGATTTCAGCCAAACCAGACTTGAATCGACCCAAACCCCATCAACCAATGAGAAAATTCTAGAAAACCTACAAAAAATACAAAAAAGAAAAATCCCACCCCAATTCTCCTTCCCCCTGATGGCCAAAGCTCCTCCCCCTCCCTTTCTTTCATTTTCCAGCCACCAGCCACGGAATCCGGTAAACAAGCACCCTATCTTGATCCCCTCATCAAAGCGAGCTTCTCTATGGCTTTAGTTTACATGATAAGGGTCTTAATCGAGAGAGATCGTGATTGGAAGGTTAAGTCACCGTGCGATGGAGTTTTTCGGTGAAATCTCATCATTCTGTCGACTTCAAGTGCTGGGAATGGTCTCAATCGACAACTAGCCGCCTACTGAACAATTTCCCTCTATTAACTCCGACGATGGAGCAGGGACGATGAAACCACCATGAGCAATGGAGATGCAGCGGCTGTTGGGGCTCCTTCCGACCAAATGGGCTACAAACTCAACAAACCGACACCAGAGAAGAGTTCCCCGTGAAATTTCAAGCACGGGGGTGGTCCGGTGACCGACCGGCTAGTCTCCGGCAAGGCCCTAGAGGCAGAATCATCTTCTTCTCGCGCGGATTGTGGAATCGTAGCCCGATTTTCTATTTGTATGCTCTAAGACCTAGTTCCTTATTTTTGGTATAAATTCCAAATTTAAAATTATTGGTTGATTAAGTTGATTTCGAATAAATAGTCAATTGAAGGACTTTGAAATGTTAAGCAGAATGTTGGATTTGTCATGTGGATTCTGAATATGCAATTAGAATTGCAACCTGACCTCGATTAATAATTAAATAGTTCATTAGCACATATTTTGTGTATAGACTTTTAAAATCGAAAATGTCCAGAACTCAGTTATTCTTGTATTGCCTAACTGACCTGTGACAAGGTAAAATCGAAAATGTCCAGAACTCAGTTATTCTTGTATTGCCTAACTGACCTGTGACAAGGTAGCTAATAATCAAAAACTAAGTAGAATTGTTTAGCTATTTAATTATATATACGTGGAAACATAGTTAATAAACTAAGAATAGTTAATAAATTGCGAAGTAATACAAATTTGGTATATAGGCTTCTAAGCTGAAAAATTGTAGAAATGGATGAAATAGCAGTTACCGTGACCTTAAAAAGACTTGGGCAATTAATTAGATAATTGTTAATTTCGTTTAACTAGAATTGATTACTATCATGAGTTAAAGTTAAGAAAGTTTTAGTTCTATATAAATATAACCTTGAACCTTAATACCTCCAAGTATAATTTATAAACCTAAGAACAAGCAATTACTGTACTTAATTAAAATACAATTTAGTTGTTAGTAAAAGATGTACTAACTTGTAGCTCAAATATGGATGAGCTAAGCTATTCATTATAAAAGGAAAAAGGACTATTTGTGGTTTGTTTATTTTGATAATGTAATTATATAGCGTTTTGATAAACTAAGAATATGATGTTAGTTGGTATTAATTATGAATTGAGTAAATGTTTAGATGAATGAATAAAGGTTATGGTGGACGGGATTAGTTATTGTGAATTGCCCGATGGATGGGCTTTGAGAATTTATTATTGAATTGTAGTTTTAAGCAGGTGGTTTAATCCAATTTTTAGGGCAGGTGGTTTAATCCAATTTTTAGGGAAGGTTCTGCCAAAATTTTGACAGAAACTAAGTATTAGTTACCTTGTAAATAGGTTATGAGATTTATTTAGGATATATCCTCTTATTATTATTTAGGGGAATGTTTAAATTAATTCCTTTCCTCGTCCTTCCAATTTTCATTTCATTAGATATCACTCTTAGTTGGTTTAGCTGATTCGAAAAGTTAGAATCGAAACTATGAGTCTTCTCCCATCTAGTGTAAAAGTAAAATAATAATAAATAGTATTTACCGCGCTCCCCCTCCGCGCCCCCCACCGCTCCCCCCCGGCCCGCCCGCCCCCCGACCTCGTAACCTCCACCCAACCCCCGCCGCCAACCCCGCCCGGCACCCTCAACCCCGCCCTATACCCGCCCCCTTCCGCCTCTCTCCATAGCCCCACCCACCGCCCGCCACCCCACCCCGACCGAGCCCCTCCTTTACCCTCCCACCTCTCCACCCCCCCCCCCCACGGACCCGGACGGAACCACCTCCGTCTACATTGGGGCGTGTTATTTGGTTTTTTTGTGGCATTTTTTTTTGGGCGGTTGGCTGCATGATACATAATTTCATTACATAAGAGCCTTTGTCTTTATTTATTTATTTATTTAATTTTTCATTTCATTAGAATCACTCTAGTTGGTTAGCTGATTCGAAAAGTTAGAATCGAAACTTGAGTCTTCTCCCATCTAGTGTAGTAAATAATAATAAATAGTATTTACCATTGGCATGATACATAAATTCATTACTATACAGAGCTTTGTCTTTATTTATTTATTTATTTATTTTCAATTAACACCTATTATATTATATCATTATTTAATACTCTTATATTCAGTTGAGTTGATATATGAATGTCTATTTGCGCTCTTGTATGATAGTATTTAATTATTTAATAAGCTTGCATTTAATTGCATTGTTCGATTATTTGTGTTGTGCATATATTTGCCTTGTTTGCGTGGAATTAGGATGAAGTGGTTCACCATGGGTTTGTGAGGGCGGTCTTCGATCGTCGGCCATGTATGGGGAGATCGGCGCCCTCGTGTGTATCTGATAATATGGATTATATGGAAAATCACAAGGTTGCCTCCTGTTAGTATGGAAAGAAAAGAGAGTATAAAAAAATAAGAGAGTTGGTCAAGTGAGGGTTAGACCGGTCGGCCATGTATGGGGATCAGCTCCCTGGTGCACATGTCATGAGAGGATGGGCCATGTGTGAGGATGGCTTGTCGGGAGTTTCGGTGATGCCACTGACCAATTTCCACTTGCTTGATTACCTGAAGGTGTAATTACTTGTGGATGCTGACATTGTGCCATATGCTTAACCAGCTGTATGTTCATTTTAGTACTTTAGGAAGTATTTCATATGAATGTTTGTGTTATGCTATAATTACTATTCATTATTACACTCACATTTCTTTTGTTTAACCTTTTCAGGAAATAGATACTTCTTTGTCCCAGTTAAAGCTTTGTCTCCTTCCCCGCAGAATTAGAAAAATAACTTTTAAAGTTAGCAGTTATTTAAATTATATAGTTATATTGACTAAACTTTATTTATATTTATCTGTTATTGAACTTTTTTGTCCCGGCAACAATTATCGATAATGAGATCGAGAAAGCGACTGACAAGCTTAGTCGAGCATTAGAAGATGCTGAAAAAAGATCAATCATCAATGGTCCATTGACAAAGTTATCAGGTCTCAGTATGTTTGAAAGACATAAGGCTGCTCGGAAAATTAGGTACAATCGTGAGCTAATCGACATGTTCTTGACAATTTCCAAGTGAAGAAAAAGAAGCATCTATGAAGGCATTACTTAGTAGAGATATTTGACTTCATCTACCAGTGATGGTTCTTTTAATGACATCTCGAACTTAAGTGTGCCCAAACAAATATTTGATATGTTATATTTGATGTGTTGATAATTTTGACATTATAGGTATGAGAATAGTGCATTGATTACTAGATTGTGTTTGATAATATTTGTGAATTATTTGAATTTTTTGGCATTTGTAAACAATAGGTGGTGCTGGTGGTAGAATGGCAGTTGAGATGGTAGTGAAGTGAGGCAACTGTAAACAATAGGTGATGGTGGTGGTAGAATGGCAGTTGGTGGTTGTGGTGGTATGGTGGAGGAGTGGCGATTACATTCTATAAGATTTTTCAAATACATTACCAAATATAGTAATAGAATGTCAATTAAATTTCATTCCATTATATCTTTTATTGCATTACATCCAAACATAGACTTAGAATTTAATGATTTCAATTTTAATGTTCTTGTTTTCTTTTATCAATTACGTTTGCAATTTTTGGAGCAATCAGTTTGAGAAAGGAATCGCAAAACATTTGAAATAAACAGAATTTTGAGGAAGTTTCGAATGAGGACTTAGAAATTGGGAGGTAAAATCAGGTAATCCAATGACATTTAACCTAATCTAATATAACTAACTCAAAATACAAAATTTTAACCATCTAATTTAAAAAGACGAGAAGTAATTTTTGTTTCTTTTTTTGTAAAAGGGTACGAAGTATAACTTTTTCTAAAAAGATAATAAAAAATATGCCTGTTCTATAATTCCCAAGCGTCTTCTGAAATCAGAAGGAAACATTTTCGTAGTTTTTCCATATTTTGTAGCAAAGAAGATTTCAGATTTCAAGGGTGTTTAGAACTACTGGATTAAATTACTTTCACTGCGATTGTCTAGATTTTTCTCTAAACAAACACGAGTCAAAATTGTAAAAAATAATGAAAGCAGAATAATCAAGCAAAAAAATCCATTAGTAACAGGATGTAACATGTGCAACCAGATTCACGAGAGAAAAGGATAAGCAATTCAACAACTCAAATCACAAAATTAACAACTATATGTGAAATGGTTTAATCTCCATTACCTAACTCAAAATTCAAGAACGCAAACAAGTTCTAAATATCATAACCAACTACAGACCAAAAACTTGTAAATTTTTTAACTAAAAGACTAGAAGATAAAAGAAAGCCTTGATACAAATGGAACCAGCAAATAGATCTCCTAGTCGAAGAGGCTGAAACCCATATCCTGCAGCAAAATTGAGGTACAAGTAACGCCAAATGAACAATAAAACATAATAACAGAAAGAAGTATCAAAATATAATAAATAACAGCAAATTGACAATTAAAAAAATCTTACATCATCTGACTCCTCTTTCTCCTCAACCTTCTCCTCCTTTTTGGCCTCAGCAGCAGGAGCAGCACCACCACCTCCAGCAGCAGGTGCTGCAGCAGCAGCAACAGCTACACCACCACCAGAAGGCACAGATGCCAATTTCTCCCTTCCTGCTGCAACCAATTCTGTGATATCCTTTCCTTCAACTTGGGACAACAATAACTGAATCTTATCATCATCAGCATCAGCTCCAACTGCAATTCCAAAACGAAAAAGTTATGGGACTTTCAATTGGTGCTGAAAATTATAACAGAACAAAATGCATTTTACCCTTTGAGTAAAAAAAAAAAACCACTTTAAAACCATGGAAAGGAGAACTCTTTTCCAGTTCATAAAGCACTGTTCGGTTCAATTCACAAACTAAACATACCAAACAAAAAACCCATAACCCAAATCTAGTATCATGTATATGCAAAAATCCTTCCATAAATAATACCAGCATGAATTATAAGAAATTAAAAATATACATGAATTCATACATTGCAGTAACATGGAATTCGAAACTGTACAAAAAGAAAAAAAAAACATTTGAAAACCATCATATCATATAAGGGTCACAAAAAGAACACAGACCATTATAGAAATTATTCTGACAAAATAACAACCATTGCTTAGCATCATACTTCAACAAAATCCATTTAAAATAACATATATATCATCATTAATGCCGTTTTCAGTAAAACTATGTTAGACGCCAAAGTCCTAATTAATATCAACAAGCCAAACAGAAAGTAATTTCATTTTGAATATGGCACTTACACTCGTAAATTAACATGATTAATCAATTTAATTACAAAAGTTAATAAATCTAACGGATAAAAAAACCTATCGAAAGGAGAAAACACAATACCGGATCCGAGGATTTCCTTCAGGTCCTCGGCGGAGGGTGAGGTGTTACCTCCCAAAACGGCGAGCAAATATGCAGCGATGACCTTCATTGCTGCCAAAACGACAAATCATTCAAGTCAAAATCAGTATAACTATATAATACAATGTAAATGCAGATAAAGGAGAGTGAAAGAGCAAGCGATCGAAGGAGAAAAGGCATACTTTTGATTATGGATCGGCAAAGAGAATGGAGGATCTGCTGTTTTTGAGTTAACAAGCGACGCTGCTGCTAGGGTTTTATGCCAGAGAGACACTGAAGACCAGCTATGTAAGGAATATATATCGCTAGGGTTTCTGGTTTTGATTTTTGCAGTCGTGATCAAATCGTGTCCGTTTATTTTTATTATTCCAATTCTGACCTGGCTTTGTAGGAGCTTTTGTTTGGTTGCGGTGATATCTTATCGCCTAGTTTTAGTCATAGGTTAATGTACCTAATACGACATCGAATTAATCAGGAAAGCCCATAGTGTTGCAATCATGGGTCCCTATAAGCCCAAAGTCTGATTTGGACCTTATGGATCTGATCATCTAAAATCCAAACGTTACAGGCTTATTGTGTGGTTACATATATCCTCTTTTACTTTTAGCCTATGGACAGTTACTATTCCGTAACTAAAGTTTGACAAAATTAATTTAATATTTCGACTAGTTTAGTCAAATATTTAGGTCATCCTCCAGATTTATCTCTGATAAACTATATAGTTCTTCCATCTATTTTAAAAATTGTATTGTTAAAAAGTAAGAAAAAGTAAGAAAAAAGTAACAGGGTTAATATGAAATCACAAGAATTTGTTCTATCACTTGGATTTTATTCTATCAATCGCAAAGAGTGGATGGATAATTTATGGTTTGCAGAGATCAAAGTTAAAGATCAATATAAGTCAAATTTATTCATGTTTAAAAAGGTAACTCTATATATCCTTTTCTTAAAACTACAATTATTTAATCATACAATTTATTGGCGGATTGAAATTCAATTACTATAATTAATTAATAATTTATATATCTATGGCGGAAGAAAATAAAAATTTTGATTTTTACGTGCATATATTATTATTGTTTTAAATTAAGGGAGGCCGTTATAATATTTTTTTGATTTTGGATTTAGAAAGTAAAAATCCAAATTATCTAGCCATAAATGATTTGATATGTTATTTTGGATTTTTGTTTTTTTTTAGAAAAGATATATTATTATTATTATTATTACTACGCATAATTATATTTCGCAAATTATTTATATATAATATTAATATTTATTGTTACTTTTTGTTTTATTTGATTATAATATGTAATATACTCTTATTAAGAAAAGAACCCATTAATTAATTTAATTTAATTTTTCCGTCTGTATTCATATACTTTTGCAAGATAATTTTTAGTTTTTAGCCTTCTTATACAATAGTTCAATTATAAAATGTATGAGCATATAAAATATTCCAAGTAATTATTGGGAACATGAGCTGATTGTGCTTTTAACTATATTTAAATTCACAAATGTTTAATGTTTTTGCATCCCTGAAGTATTTAGGATATTATTTTATTATAATATTATTATATAATGGCATATATATTAGTTTTCTGGTTTATTTTAGTATTATTATATATTGGCATATATTATCCATATGGTACAAATTTTGAGAATTGATTCATTTACTTTTAAATATAATTAAAATATTATTGTTATTATGTTTGGAGCCTATGTTAGCTGTTAATCTAAAATTGTTAATGATATTTATGCCTCGAATATGCTCTTGAAGTAGCAATATCGAGAAAATAGATTTTAAGATATATTTTGAGTTTATTTCATGTCCTTTTATCATTGAGCAGAATAAAGAATTCTTAATAAATATCATGAAGCTCACCCAACTGGATTTGCTTCATTCCCTGATAAAGTGAATAGAATAACATATAATACTGGACATGTAAATAATGAGATCCACCCAATTTAAGGGAATGAATTAGATCTAATTGGAATAATGATCTTAGCAATTATAGTGGCCACATATGCAATAATATATGATATTGGGCATGAATAATGACGAAAATATACTTGTCATTGAAAATATCAATAAGATCACAATTGAAATAATGATCTTAGCAATTATGGTGGCCACATTATTAAGAATAAATTTTACCACCAGAATTGGTACAAATAATATAACATATATAGATATTACTTATGTACTTGTTGTACGCCAAAATATTAAAAGATAAATTTAGCTTTGGTAGTAAAAGAATTTTTAAATACTCCGGAAGAGCAAGTATTACTACTTAGAGGAATGGATTTTACGCACAGTACAATATTCCAAAGATATTATTAAAATGGATATCATATAGCGATAATAATTGAAGTAAATATAGTTGAAAACCAGAAGTTTACAAATCCAAGTACTTTATTATTTAGCATGATCAGTCGGATCATCCCGATCAATAATGATGCGAGAAGAAAATTTAAATCCTTATATAGATATTTATTGAAAAACTATAAGTCTCTTTAGCTAATAAATTTTTTATGCTTAGTTTATTCTCAAAGCAAATTAATTATTGAGTAATCACCAAGAAGAGTTCAAAAGAACTGCTTGCATTTTCTAAAATATATAAAGTGAAATTATTGATCAATTAATCCATCATGTGAATTATTTAGATATTTTATGAATGCATCCAAAATATAGTTATATGATTATTATTGATTTGCAACCTGAAGTTTGCAAAGATTGTTGTTAACATATAATCTGAAGTTTGCATGATTATTTGCGCAAATAATTTGATTAAGAATACAATTTTCAGATTATGTTATTAAGATAATTTATCTTGAGAATGATGGTGAATTTACACATCGGCCTTTAATGATTATGGTATGTGGTAATTGAAATAATTTAGGCAACCTGTTGTTGCTTTTATTTATGCTAAAAAATGATTTAGTAGAATCATTTATAAACTATTGCAATTAATTGCCAGACAATTATTATGAGAACGAATCTTCCTATTTTTCAGAGGGATATGCTATTAAATTTAATAGCACTTACTCGCATCAAGCTAATAAGTTATTATAAGTTCTCCCATTGATAATTGGTTTTTGGAGCAGGAACCAAACATTACCCATTAAGAAAATTTTAAATATGCGGTATATGTTCTAATTGCTCCACCACAGTGCACTAAGATTTGTCCTCAAAAAGAGTTTGAAAATATATATCAAGTATGATTTATGATTAAATATTTAGAACTTTCAAATAAGAAATTTATATATGCTAAATTTATTAATTGTTATGGACATTAGGAGAGAAAACAAGCAGCTAAAAAAATAATTGATTGAAAAAGAATTATCATTATTATATTTTTATCCTTATTCAAGGCAGTGTGAGTTAAAAGAGTTTAAAGGATAATTTATTTGTAAAATATTGCAAATTTGTTTTCAGATATATTCACTAATCCAAAAGGAGATAACTCAATCTCACATAGTAGCTGCAAATGCTCCTATTAGTGTTGAAGTCTCTGAAGGACAAACTCTCAATGCTAATGAATCTATGGCATGCTTGAAGCATGGAATATCGATTCCAAAGATAAAGAAAAAAATAAAATGAAAGAAAATGAGCAAATATTCAAGATGATCAAGTTATAGAAAGTAAATTCTAGCAGAAATCCTATACATGACTAATAAATTTCTCAAAGAAACTCAGGTATCTGAAATAAATAACGATTATGAGATTTCTATAAATTATGCCATGTCAAGAAAAATATGGAACTGATATAAAAAAAAATCAACAATTTTTATACAATATGGTGCTTGAAATTGTGAAAAAAGATGAGGATCTTGAGTCTAATCTAGTGAGACTATAGACATAGAATTGATTAGCCAAAATAGAATAACGCATCTGACATTTAAATTTACTTAAAAAGTAAATTTTGAAATTTTAATATGGGCATAAAGAGATGTCAAGCCAGTAGAATACAAATATGTATTTGTGTAAAATTGAAATATGATAATGAGGTATCAAGCAAATTTGTTGCACACATTCTTTCGCAAAGAACCAGCTTTGATTATAACGATAAATACCCTCATGTGGTGGATACAATTATAATTTGATATTTGATTAGTCTGACAATTTATGAAAACTTTAAATGCGTCTAATGAATTAATGACTGCCTATTTATATGCTAACTCGATATAGATATCTATATGAAAATCCCTAAAGGATTTTAATTGCTTGAAACACAAAGTTAAATTCTCAAGAAATTTATTCAATCAAATTATATGGAGCTCCATATAAATTATTGGATAATGATATCAATGAAATATTGAAAAAAAATGCTTGAAGCAAGCAAATCGAGACCCCGAGAAATATATTCATGATTTCTATATGGATTAAAGAAATATCAATACATATGGTATAATTACCTTAATGATATTTATCGTTAAAAATTATTATATTTTTTTGTGATTATATTCTTTTATAATATTTTATTATTGAAAGCATAATTTTGACATTTACTTTATATACTATCATGAATAAAGTGATCTCTTGATTAGTGAATATCTATCAAAAGGATATTCTAATAATATTATTATATGTTCATGAATTTATGCTTGAAGCAAGCAGCAAATCGAGACCCCGAGAAATATATTCATGATTTCTATATGGATTAAAGAAATATCAATACATATGGTATAATTACCTTAATGATATTTATCGTTAAAAATTATTATATTTTTTTGTGATTATATTCTTTTATAATATTTTATTATTGAAAGCATAATTTTGACATTTACTTTATATACTATCATGAATAAAGTGATCTCTTGATTAGTGAATATCTATCAAAAGGATATTCTAATAATATTATTATATGTTCATGAATTTTTATACAGATATTTGAATATGAATTTATCATTATTTGGTTTATGAACATGGTTTATGAACATTATTGGAACTCCTGAAGGACTTCCAAAGTTTATAAATTCCTTAACAAAAAGAGTTTGAGATGAAAGATATTGGAAATATAAAATTTTCTATCGGCCTAAAGATCAAACATTTTATAAATGAAATTTTATCTATGAATCCGCATAAATGACTAAGTTGTTCCAATAATTTTATGTGAATAGTGGTGAGGTCACTTGATGAGAAGATGACCATTTTTCACTTTGAGAAAATTATGAAGAATTCTTGATTCTAAAGTACCACATCTTAGTGCAATAAATGCGCTAATATATCTTACTACTCATATTTGACTTGATTTTTATAAATTTATTGGCAAGATATAGTTCTTCCTAGATATGAAGAAATTAAATGGAGTTAAACATATATTTTGACATCTCCATGGCAC